GCACCTTTGTAGAGCTTTGTATGGAGACGCCATATTGGTGCACCGTTTTGGTGCACCAATATGGCCGCCGGAAATCAACAAAAAAATCTGAAGTTCACTTTTTCTATAAAAGCCATTTCTTTTCACTCGAGAACTAGCATACATGCACATAAACATACCTTCTAATACTTGAAATGGTTATACTGCTGAAAATCAAGAGGACAGACTTTTTTTTCAACGAGACAGCATTCCTATTTTGGTGTCACGCACTGTGAAAACTCGGAAGTTCAAATTGCTGTATTTTCGAAATGAAACATGCTACAGGACTGGAAACTTTTACAAAGATTTATTTTTTGTTTATTTTCAACCTAGTGTAAATAAGAATTCGTAAAACCTCGCCATTTTGACTTTTCAATTTTATGACGTCACATTGAAAACCATCTTAATTTGGTTTCTCCGTTATTTTAACCAACAGGCTAACGGAATTATGTAACTTGAATGCCGAGAATGTTGAGAAGGTATCTAGCCGGCCTTTCAAACAAATGTCATGACCAAACAAAGAAGATTTAGTATTATTTTAATGATAAATATCATGCAGCTGCGTGGAATGTCATGGCGAGTCTTGCGATGTTTCAAAACGAGTGTCGTTAACGTTTTTTGGCTGTTGCGGCCTATGATTTAAAGAAGTCATCAATCAAAATATAATTTCCTAAGCGGAATAGTATGGGGAAAACGCCGATGGCCACAGTTTAAAGTGTTCACCGCTGGAAGGCTGGATCACGCCCCGTAAAGTTGCAGAAACTTGCACTCAACTGCATGGTTTTGAGGAACGTCATGGCGAGTCTTTCGCTGTTTGCAGTCGAGCGTCACTCAAGAGTTTGGCTTTCGCGGCTTCTGATTCATCGAAGTCACCTATCAAAATTGCCTATCCTGAGCGAAATACCGTGGAGAAAAGCTTATAGTCACAGTTTAAAGTGTTAACAACTGGAAGGCTTGGCACTCGACGTAATGTTGCTGAAAGCTCTTCTCGACTGTACGGTTTGAGCAATGTAATGGTGAGTCTTTCTCTGTCTAATCGACCGTCACTCAAGACTTTGGCTTTTGCATCTTCTGATTCACCGAAGTCATCAATCAAAATACCCTATCCTGAGCGAAATAACGTGGAGAAAAAGCCTATAGTCACAGTTTAAGGTGTTAACAGCTGGAAGGCTTTGCCACTCGACGTAAAGTTGCTGAAAGCTCTACTCAACTAATTTCGAAATAGTCACATGTTACGTGCTTCTGGAAGGTTAGTGTTGGATTTTTAGCATTTAATTTGCCTTTGAAGATTTATGTTTAGAACAAGCCTTCCCTAGTCAGCTGTTTTATAAAATCTTTTAAAATTTTGTAAATTTTTACATGATTTTATGAAATATTTTTTACAAACTTCACACTTTTATAAAATTATATTTTATTTCATAAAACTTTGTATGTTTTTATAAAACAAAATTCACAATAGTTCATGCACTTATAAAATTGTATATACTTTTATAAAATTTTAGACCAAATACAACTCTGTAAATTGTACAATATTATAAATTTGCTCAAATGTCACGAAACTACTAATGACAGTTTTTTGGTACCCCTTGTTTGAAGTTTTTCCAGGTTTTGTTTGGTTAAAATTGCACTCTGAGGTGATTTTAATTCTAACAAGTGACACATTTACCAGTAAAAGTGTACTGAATATTAATTGCTTAAAAAAAACAAAGAATATTCTTGTTTTAAGGAGAACTTGAAATTTTTAGCCGAGAATGATATTTATCTTTATATCAATGTCAGTGGAACAATTCAACCATGAGTGGATACCTTCTGTTAATACGACCACTAATAATGCCATGCACTAATTCAAGTTCCTTATGAAAGAGTTGACTGTATATATAACATAAATTTAGAAAATTCCAGTATATTGTGTAAATTTTATAAATTATTTGGCACAGAAGCCCAATTTCTGTTGCACAGGAGTGAGTTTTTCATGGCCTAAGATGGGATATTTTCAATATTGGATGAAAACCTGTGAAAATACTGTGAAAAATATGTGAAATACCCTGTCACAAGAAAACACCCGGTGAAAAAACCTGTGAATTTTGCACAGCCTAAATTCTGAGAAAATTTCAAAATTTAGGACCCTGTGAAAAAACCTGTGACTCAAATAAGCCTGTGAAAATTACCCTGTCAAAAAACTTATGACAAACTTTGAGAAAATTGCCTAAAAACACCTCTGGAAAACCCTCTGAAAAAACCTTGGAACAAATTTTGAGAAAATTGCTTAAGAAACACCTCTGGAAAACTATATGAAAACACCTGTGAACAAAAAATGAAATGAAATGAAATGAAAAAAACAAAATCGATAACAGAAATTTACAAAGACACAGTCTGCAAATAATGAAGGAATAAATAATGTGCTGTACTTATATAATTATTTAACATGTCTGTAAATAAAACATGCATTAAGTAAAGTAAAAAGCTGGATGATTTGGTGCAAGACATTATTTTGTTTTGCTACTCAGAGTTTCATGCTGCCCAAAGTAACGGTTACAGTCACTGGTATAGAGAAAATAATGTAGTATTATGTAGTAGGCTGTGTCATAAAATTAAGCAGTTGGGAAAAAGGACACCAGAAAAAAATTCGGCCTCCCATTGGATGGGAACCCATAACCCTGGGAGATGTTTTTTCTTTGGTAGGTCATGAATAAATAATCTTTTCAGTGATGAATAAATGAAAGTGATTATTTGAAAATCATACATTTGAACTGAATAAGCAGTTGGAGAAAAGAAAACCTGCCGTCAAGTTGTGAACATAACTGCAATAATCTTTTACTAAATGGCCAGTATGGGGAGATGGACCGACTTGTGTGACACCATTTTTTGGGAATAAAACACGTTTGGCTATATAAAAGACCTGTTTGAAACAGAAAATGAAAAAAAAAAAGTCCATTTTTTGGGAATAAAAAACGTTTGGCTATATAAAAGACCTGTTTGAAACAGAAAAAGAAAAAAAAAAAAGGGGACACCAGTCCTGCTATAAAAAACGGTGGCCATAAGTGGAGGTTTGACTGTATATCAAGTAGCAATTCCCTTTAAGTCCTTTATTATTGTTTTCATGGGATGACCATGTCAATCTGACAGGGGAAAGGGATTTCAGACAGATTCTTGCCTAAACTACCCTCACCCTCCCACGAAGTACACATAAATAAAAATATTGACGTATAAGTTTTATAAATCAGTCCCTCTAATTCTATCATTAGCAATGTCAGTGTACATTTTGGTTTGCAACCACCTGACCAGGTGGCCTTATTGGTGGTCAAAACAATAAATATGTATTTTTTCACAGAATTTGTTTGAAAGTAGAAGAGTGAAATGCTTAAATTGTTCTTGACTGGGAAAAATTGGGCTTCAAGTAGTATTATACTTTTTGCAAGGGAGGCTAAGTTCCTGTGATAAATGATGTATTAGTTCGTAGGTTTGATCATTGATAGGATAGTTTCGGTCAAGATGCTAAAAAAATAGGTTTAAACCTAAAGCTAGTGAAAATATGGAGCTCTGAAATGTTGTTAATATATGTTAATTGTTCATTTGAAAAGTATTTGTCTGTTTCTGATTGGCTAAAATCCCCCAGATAATGCTCCATAACCAGCTACCATTGACCAGTTTAGGAATACATAATACTTTTTGCAATACAGTAAATATCCATATTGTTCTGATAATAATCGAGGAAAAGGCCAACAGTAGGAGCACAGTAATTCAACTGCTTGAGTGGAGATGGTGAAAATGGTGGAGATTCAGTAATTCAACTGCTTGGGTGGAGATGGTGAAAATGGTGGAGATTCACACTTAAATTTTAAGAAGAAAAAATAACTACAATAGAGCCCCAGTAACTCAAACTCTGAAGGGAAACGAAAAACAGTTTGAATTAGCAAGGAATTCAAGTTATGGGGTAAATTTCAGTGAAATTAACAAAGTTAAGGGAAGGGAAATTTACTTCAAGTTAGCGACAAATTTGAGTTATCTGTGGTTCTACTGTAAACTGTGCCTAAAATAAATTAACGAATGAAGGGTGACAACTGCTATTTGAAGAATATCTGCTATCGCAACTAAACATCCACTGCCAAAAGAACATGCAAATACACGTATTCTATTATGAACATGGAGGCAGCAACTTACACACGTTTTAAACTTGGAAATAATTTTGAATGAATATTATATTAAAACAATTATTGCCGATTTGTCTTTAGTGAGAATTATGCAGCTATCATGGGGGCTCGATCCGCATTATTCTTCGCAAAATAGTGACTCCAAAGTGAATGCAAATAGAATATGTGAAACTCAATATAACTTTCACTCTTCAAGAACCAAATAATAAAATAATAAAATAATAACTTAAAAGAAGGAAGCTTCTTAGTCAGAGAAAAAGAAAACTTAAGCCTTTTTATAAGGTACTGTAAAAGTCCAGATCTATATGCTTATCTGTTTTCCCTAATCCAAGTGGCTCAATCTCCGGCCCGCTGTAAGAGTAAGTTCTTTCACTGGATGACCCTATCATAAGCAGCATATTCAAGCAGGTCTGTCCACCCTAAATGAAGACCTGGTAAAGAATGATGAGAATTTATTAGATTTGAAAGTGTGTTAAATTTGTACAGGAAAAGCTCTCAGATTTGGAATTTGTGAAGCCGCATTCGCTCAAGGTTCGTGCATGCATTAAAGCTTAAATCAAAGAAAGCAAGAAAAGTTGTGTTGTGTAATTAAAATGACCACACTGAAATACAGCCGTAAGTACTCACCTTACAGTACTTTTTTTCTTCCATTCGGCACATTGAGCTTCTGCTTCTGTATAACGACAGGTAAAAAATATCATAAACGGTTCTGCTGACTTCACTTGCGAACTCAAAGCGATGCACGAAGCAGTTTTCTCTAATACTCTGACCTCAGTTTAGATCTCATGCTTGTCCCTCACATATTTTTTCATTAACAAAAAGAATATGCACAAAGATCGACGATCTAGCTCGATCCGAACGTCCAGAAACCAAGATGGCCGCACTCGAACGGGACGGTGAAAGACTGGATCCTAGAACCCATGTTTTGGCGGTTTTGGCGCGAATTTCTGAACGCGGCTGCCAAACTCTCTTCATTCGTTCAATCACAACTAAGATAAAGTTGTATTAGCTGAACAGCGAACAAGAACAAGAGATATTTTTCCCCTACATCGACAATTCTTTCTTCTACGGAGTTTTCATTTTTAAAATAATCAAAGACTGGCCGAAAAGGTAGGTGCTTTCCTTTCCTTTAATTTGAATGAATGGGGTTCTCTTTTTATGATATTTTTTGACCCTTTTTACGAGGTTTAGAAAGTGGTTTAGAAAGGAACTAGAATTCAAGCTTATTCTCCCGATCTGCTTCTTCTTATTTTTTTACTATAAACAGGTTGTACGCTCATTTGAAATTGAGCTATTAAATTGTTTTAGACAACAACTATGCAGCAAAGTTCTTGTAATGAACACTTCAGTTTATGCTCCATAATCCTTTTTTTATTAAAACTGTCCTACATGTTCTGGATTCCATGCGGTTGATTCTGGATTTCAGTCCTTGAGCTGTATTTTTTGGATTCTAAGGCCAAGGATTCGGGATTCCCTTACATGGAGCGAATTTTTAATAACCCAGTGATTTCACTGTTTTGGATGCATGCCCTCATGGTTTTGAAACTTAATCCTTAAACACCTTTCCATCTAATAGTTACAGTATTTCTTACAGTTGAGAACTTTTCTTTTCTTTTTTAGCTTGTAACAAGCACCTTTTATCTGTGCTTTATTTCAGATTTTTATTTCACACTGTTGCAAAACTAAATAACTACTTTTTTTGTCACCCACCTGACTATGAAAACTAATCAACTAATGAAGTTAAATACGTTTTATGAACAGTAATAAAGACTTCTGTAAAAATGCCTGTGCCTTGATGGCCAAGCTGAATCAAGCACTCAGTATATAGCATTCATATCATGCCAGTTCATCTGACAAAAAGATTGTGGTTATTTGAAGACTACTGAATGTGAGTATCTCTACATTGTTTTTAAGTTAAGAAGACCATCATCAATCAGGATCCAATTTATTTTGTCTAGTTTTATATGAGATATTAACTAAAAAAATAATTAGACATATTTACGCTGTATTAGCTAACAAAATAATAAGATGTATTTACCTGTGTTCCTGTTTCTTTACGAGTCATTTTGGAAAGGATTTGAATCGGATCAGAAATGGCAAACATTGCTAGCAAGATGAATTGCCAGTATCAAATAGTTGTTTGTCTGGTGCTTCATAAATAGGATGCAATGTCAGTTACATATCAAGTTTCCAATATTGTTAACTGTTAACTCTCCTTGGTAAAAAGGAGAAGAGAGAAAAGAGACAATTATTAAGGGGATTAAATAAGGGCAATTTTATTTTGAGGCATATAATACCTTTGTTACTAGACAAAATCGGCTAGTGTCCCACACCTCTATTGATTATTCAGGGGCACCCAACGAGGATATAGTTCAAAACCACTTAACAAAGCATTGTTGAGCGTATTTTAGTATTCGAACGGTAGATATAAAAGTCTAGTGATCCGAAAATTATAGGGATAAAAACTTATCTTCTAGAAACTTTCAGCCAGGAAAAGGCTCCCAAAAATTCTAGGTGGCCTTTTTAAGGGTCAAAATCCGTTAAAAATGGGTAATTATACCATCTTGTAGACGTTCGAAAATCCTAGGAGAGGCAGGCAAGCAAGAAATTTTACAACAAATGCTCCGAAAATTCTAGATCTCAAATCGTCTTCTGAACAGATATTTTCCCGAAAATTGCCGCTGGGTACCCCTGATTATTAAAGGTTCAATTATACGGTGTTGTTTTGATGCCCATTTTTTGCTTAGAATTGCGTTGTTTTTAGAGGCTACTTTTCGTCCAGTCTGTGACTACACCTGACTTGACCAGAAGTAAGTTGTCGTATTAAACATGTGCTTTGTGAGGATGGTTCTATGTTCTCATGACAGTCACTTTTGTTTGGATTTGACACCTTCAGATGTGTTGGAAGTAGAAAAACAGACCATACCACGCGGAATGCATGAGACACATTTTACCACTTGTGTCGTGTTGCTCTGTAGTAAATTTTAATGTTTTAGACCAATTTTTCACTGATGAAAAGGAAAAATGTCCAATAATACTGTGACAAGGATCGCTTGGTAAAAATCTCTTGGTAAAAATATGCAATGACTCTGATAATAATTTCTGTTCTCTTATATCTGGACACTGCATTTGAGGAAAATATCCGAAAAAATATAATTCGACTTCCAAGTGACTTTAAAACAACATTGCAATTACCATGCATGAAAAGGACATTAATTCACGTCAAGAGTGCCTGAGATTGCGGTCAAAGGCTGCCGGGTCCAGTTTCCATGCGCATTTCCATGGGTAGGACTGGTCAAGTCAACTGGAGTCACATATCGTACAAGCACCACTACAGTCGAGTTTCATCTCTTGTCTCTTTTCTCTTCTCGTGGCTGTTAAATTGAAACCCCTTAGACAAGCAGACATTTAATATTGGCAAAGTTAACCATCCCCTGATCCCATTCAAATTCCTTCTAATTTAAAACACACAGGATCACTGTTAGCTAAATACATACTATTTTATTAGGTAATACAGCTTAAATGCATGCATTGAGGTTCTATTTGACTTGGGAACAGAAATCAGACTTCAACATTGTATTTTTTTCTGGGGGGGGGGGGGGGAGGCAAAAAAACAGAGCGAGGATAAATCCCCCCCTTTTACGGTTTTTTTCCAAATGTGTACACCACAAAAACAGGCCTTTACCATATTTTTAAGATTTTCCCCCCCTTAAAAAAACTGTAACAGAACAGAAGGTTTACACTCTAAAACAGCGAAACTTTTTAATTTTAATATACAAACCCCACCGCGTACTCTATACAAATCTTTTATATTAAAAAAAAAAGATACTCATTTATTAAAAAAAAAATTTTTTTTTTGTAGTTAAAAATGTAAAAACTTGATGTTTGATTTTTTTTTTTGTTAGAAAAAAAAATTTATTTACTTATTGTTTTTTTTTTTGGGGGGGGGGGGGGGCTGGCAACATACAGCTGCCAGGTAAACTCCTCCCATTTCAGAGTTTTTTCCACAGGTTCTGACCATGAAAAAAGGCCTGTTCACAGGTTTTGAGATTTTCCACCCCGTGAAAAACACTGTGAAAGTTCAGAGGTTTTTCACACTGGGTCTTTCACAGGTATTTTCACAGGTTAAAAACTCACAGGGTTTTTCACAGGGTTTGGCATAGGTTCTGACCCTGTGAAAAATGCCCTGTTCACAGGGTCTCAATGGTTTCACAGCCTGTGAAAAAGGTGTGAAAACCATGTGAGAAAACATGTGAAGTTGAACAGTTCACATGTTTTTTCACAGTTTTAGGGCCTGTTTACATGGAGTGGGAAACCCCGGTCTAGTGGGGTTGCAATTGTTTTCTTTTGTTTTCACGCTCCGGGGGACACAAAACAAAAGAAACCTACCCCACTAAACTGGGGTCCCCCACTCCATGTAAACAGGGTCTTATTCACAGGTTTTTCATAGCATTTTCACATGTTTTTATCCAATAGTGATATAAATAAGCTATTTTTTCCTCGTGCCATTGAATCAGTTACAAAATTCTGAGTTTCTTTAAAGCTAAATGTTTTGCAATGAAACTGATCATTATTAATAAGTTTAAATTATGCATGTAAATTTTTTATAAATTGTGAGCGACTTGAACTGACCGAATGATGTTAACTTAAATTGCTTAGTGTTGTATATTAATAACCAAAGTAATTTGGAAGAAAGATGGAAATAAAAGTTAGTCGGTCTGTTCCTGTCAATATTATTACGACAATGTCACATTTGCACACTTCTGAAAAATTATACGCAGCATCATTTGAAGCTGCTCTGTCTCAAAGCAAGGTTTTATATTTTTTTATATTGTTTTATAAAAGAAAATTTAGCAACAACAATTTTTGTCTTTTCATAAAATTTTACAATTTTCATATAATTTTGATACCTTTTATAAAATTTTATACAATTTTACATGGGAAAACGTTATAAAAATGTATAAAATTTTATAAAAATTGCAATACAGAATTGCCATTCGGTTTTATAAAATTTTACAAAACTTTTTATCAAAATCTTATAAAACTTTATAAAACAGCTGACTAGGGTTAAGCCCAAAAGTAGTCCAATTTGTTATTATCTGAGAGAAATCAAGAAACTTTGTGCCCTTCCTTTTTTTCTAAGCTTGCAAGTGTAACGCACCTGAATAGAAACCCTTATGCACTAAAAGTCATATTGTCAAAATGACTAGTTTGAAATTACTCCTTATCTTAACTGATAACTACAACACTTATTTAAAAATGTATCGCTCCCAAACATGTGTTGATTGGTTCTTGGCCTTTACAGTTGAAAAAAAAACTACTACGATTTACAGTGATTACAGTTATGTAATTAATGAGTAAATCAAAAAGAATGAAATTAAATTGAAAAAACAAAACAGCTGTTTTAACTGTTTTAGAGGTTTGAAGGTCTGAAGGGATCACTAGAGCTGTAATATGAGACTCAATAAGAGGTCTAGTTACTTTAGAACCCGTTAGAAGTTTCCTGCAGCAAAACACATATTTTGGCCTGGTAATTACTTGTATTTCTTGATGTAAATTGCATGCTATGAATTAAGTGTCAGTTAGGGTCATTCATAATGCTGTACTGCACCTTATGTTATCTGACGATTATCTAAGGTATAAAAAATGAATTTTGTGTATTTTTAAAGACTTCAATATATGCTTACTTTTGAATTTATAAACAATATATATTTAAATCCTACACTGTAAGTCTGGTTGTCAGTGTAGCCTGTGTCGCAGACATAATCTATTGCCGGTTAGTAACATCTGCAAAGCCGTGCCAATATTCTGGGCTGCCAATCACAATGTGTTTCAATATTCCCTTCAACCTGATTGGCACACTGATAATGGTATTTTTAAGAGGCCAATCATAGCACATATGCAAGTGCTAGTTCACAGGTGGGCCACGGGGTGCCCAGAAGCAG